ATATCAGCTGTTCCTTTTAACTTTGGCTCTTAAGCAGGGGCAGAGTGATCTTTGATCTCTGGAAAACACAACGTGCCAATAATGATAAGACTTAGAGGAATGTTTTGGAGGGAAGGGTGAGAGAGAGGCTTTCAGTTACCCTTTCATCCTGTAAACAAAGCTCAGAGCTCTACAGAAAAATATTGGTATGTCACCAGAAAAGCCTAGATCGGGCTCATCAACCTTTCAGAGGTGGAGTGCTGAGATTTGACTTATTCACCTCTATGTACGGGTCCAAGTGCCGGTGATACTTTTTAATTCAATAATAGTTCAATTTACAGCAGCGTCATTAATAAATAAATAAAGATGCAGATCTTACCTATTAGTGCAGAGATCAGCAAACTTTCAGAACTGGCGTACCAAGATTTAACTTATTCATGGATCTGTGTGCCGGGGGAAGGAGAGAGTAGGGGAGGCAAGGGCAGGCTGGGTACGGTGACCTTATTTTCTGAACCAGCTGCAGCTAGGGAGAATGGCTTAATTTAAATTATGAAACAGATTAAGAGTTTTATCTTTCTCATGTTAATTTATCAAACTTCATTTTAAATAAAGTAAAATATTATGTCCAACACTAAAATTGTGAATGTTTTCTTTATTTATGACAGGGGTGGAGACCCAATTTTGGGTCGGGGAATCAGTTGGGGACCACACAGTGAGAAGCAAAAAACCTCCTCCAACCCCCCCCCCAACCTTCTCTGATATGACCCCCAACTGAGACACCTTACTCCTCTGGTGCTCCCACCCTATGGGGTGAGGGGAAGGGACAGGAAGGACTGAGGTTTGGGGCTTTCCATAGGCCAGATTTACTTTTCTGGGGTTCCATTGGATTTTGTAGATTTTAGGCTCTGGAGTGGGGACAAAAATGCAGGGTCCAATGTGTGGGACAGGGCTGCCAGCGAGTGGGATAGGGATGGGGTGCAGGATCTGGGCAGGAGGTGGACTGTAAGAGGGGGAGAGGGTGCGAGGTCTGGGTGGGAATAGGATGTCTGGCCAGGGGAGGAGGCAGAAGCAAGAGAGGGGGCGGGCTGTCAGGCCAGGGGGCAGGCTGCTGGGTCGGGGGCAGGAGCAAGACTGTCTGGCCGGGGGACGTGGGGGGATATGATGAGTGAGGGAGTGGGGATCTGGGCATGAGGGGGTGGGAGGCATTTGTTTTCATGCCACATGGCAGGCACGGCACAGCAGTGCCAGCGAGTGTGGCTGCAGCGCAGGGTCACTGGCTCGCACAGCAGCCACCGACACAGGGGGCAGCTAAGCAGGGGTCACCTAGTGTCTCGCCCGGTCCCTCGGGGATGCTGGCAGGCTAGGGCAGCAGGCGCAGTGTTTTCTGGCGCAGACTGAGCTCCAGGCTCTCGGCCAGCTCTCGCAGCTCTTCAGGCCGCAGGTGAGCCAGCTGGGCAGCAGCACTGGAGGCCTCCAGAGCCTCGTCCATGTGGTTGGTGCAAACCAGTGTGTCCTCGCAGTGCAGGCAGCGGCTCTGTTTGGTCTGCAGCAGCTCAGCCAGCTACGAGCTGTTCAGCTCCATGCCATCTGCTCTGCTCGCTAGCAGCTCCAAGGTGCAGAGGTCCCCCTGGCAGCGGCGGCCTGAAGGAGGAGGCGGTGCAGCTGGACCTGGGGCCCCGCACAGCAGAGGTAGTCCCATGGGAGAGGAAGGGGGTCGTGCAGCGCAAGAGGATGTCAGGGACTCACTGGCAGCAGCACACACCACAGCCGACGAAGGGGCACCTCTGAGCGCAGATCCACTGTGCACGCAGCCTAACCTGCTGCCGGGGAAGTGGAAGGGTGCCAGCAGTAGGTTAGTCTGCGTGTGCCACTCAAAATCATCTCACGTGTCGCTCGTGGCATGCATGCCAGGGGTTGTCGACCCCTTGCCTAGATACAAAGCTTAGGCATCAAGCCTGCCAAAATATGTCTTGAGGAGGAGAGGGGTAGAAATTGCTTGTACGTGAAGAGTAAGGTTATGTGTACACTAGCACTTTTGTTGGTACCTTATGTTGCTCAAGGGCATGCAAGAACACAATATTGAGTGACACAAGTGTCGCCGGCATAAGCACTTGTGTGCATAGCACTATGTTGGTGGGAGAGCTTTTCCCACTAACATAAGTACTGGTGCTCCTTGAGGTGATTAAATGTTAACGAGCAGAAAGTTGCTATAAGAACAATCTTGCAGTGGTACAGCAGCATCGGTATAGCTGAGCCATTGTACTTTGCTAGTGAAGACAATTCTAAGTTGTATTTGTTCTCTTCCCATCTTTTCCTAAAATTTTCTCACCAACTAAGTAGAAGTGAGTTTTCATTTCTTTGTTGTCAAAGCATAGAAATCCATACAAAAGTGTTTGATCCTTTCCCCATGGCAGCAAAACTGTGCATGATCCTCAATCATAAATGAATAGCTGATGGGGTTTGTGTATAAACTTCTCAGTATGTGTAGACTGCAGAGCCTGCTGCTTTATATCTAAAAGACGTTCCATAACAGAAAGTGCCTTGTAGACAGGCTGGTATATTAGGTTTGAATCTTACCATAATATTTTAATCTTGCTTTTAATCATTGTTCTGCATGAAGAGATGCAGACTTCAAGCTGTTGACTGAACATTTCCATCCCCCCTTCCATAAAGGAAAATGTGACCATCCCCTGATAATAATTGATACACAGCCATACCACATCCTTCTCGGATTACCAGGTGGTTTTGTTTAGACAGGTAGAACCTGATCTTGCTTATGAAGAACAGTGATTATTTCACATGACTTTATTGCTGGGATTCCTGTGGTTTTATTTAATTGAAATTTCACACAAATGTATTTACAGTAAATTGGCAAGTACTCATTACAAGAGAATACACATCCTAAAAGAAGGCAGTATGAATTCCAAACTACCTTGTGTGTGTGAGAGAGAGAAGGCCTGAAGGGAAGGAGGAGGTGCAGGAGTAATATTCACCTCAAAGGTATCTAGTCCCAGTGTTCATCCAGATACTGCTTCCAAATAAAATCGTAACTGTCATTTTTATCACTTTTCCTAAAAGGAATTTTTCTCACCGCCTTGACCTGGTCTAATGGAGTATTAACCAGCAACTCTGCACAAGTTATCTTCTCTAGCTCTTCATCAAAAGAGACCTTTGCTTTCTAAATTAAAAAGTAACTTTGCTTCTGTGAAAGCATTTCTGCTTGTAGTAGCTGCCCTGTGGGGAACCTGAACCACAAATAAATGAAGCTGTTTCCCACAGGTCGCTGAAAGAGTCATGGCACAGCCAGAATTAATACTTTGGGAATCTGACTTCCAGTCCCTTTCTGAGTCCACTAAAGCACATGGCCTCTCCTGAATATGTTTTTAAGCAGCATGTAAAGCCATACCTATTTCTCATGGAAGCTTTAACTTTTTCTTCTTTTTTTTAAATGTAGCTACATAGTAAAGCCTACTTTGATTAGAAAACTTAGCAAGTTTCTCCATGCGTTACTTGTGGTTGATGTCACTGCATTTCAAAGGAGGTATAGTGAGTGAACTGAATATTTTGCACCTATTGTATTTGTCAAGTGGACTCAATGGAACTGACACTGGGAAAAAAACTCAGTCCAAGGTGCATTACACAGGTGATAACCTAAGCTCAAAATATTTTGTCTTTTCTCCACAAGGTTAATTGCTACAGAACATCTCATTACCCAAGGCTCATGCTGCAGTCAGCCAACCTTAACATTCTTTATGCAAAGCATCTGCGGCAGGAAAGCATTTCTGCATTGACTGGGGCTTCAGAGCTATACTAGCTTCCGTATACAAGCATATAGGCTGATCTGGTTTCAGAAGAGGCCCCAGATGTTTAAGATGTTTACAGTGCTATCACCAGAACTGAATCTGTTTACAACAGATCACACATCTCAGTAGGTGAGGGGCATGATTATGTATGTGTTCATTTTGGGAAGCAGAAAGTATTAATACTTATGTGGTGTTTTACAAACATTATTAGAGTCTTAATGCACCTGTGACCTTAGTAAATGGTTTTGCAGAAGTATATATCAAGGCACAGAGATTGAGCAGTGAATCCAAGGTTATATAGCAAGTTAACAGCAGCTCCAGGAATGGAACCCAGGATTCCTGACTGGTCTAACCACTAGACCGCACTGCTTCTCATAACTCAGTTCTCCATGAGTTCACTCAAAGCAGATATCCTCTGGGTTCAGAATGAAAGGTTGTTTCAATGAAAGGTGAAGTCTCAGAACTCAGTACTGGTCCCTGTGCTTGAAGTTCCCTTTTTCCGGACAGAAGTCTCTGGAACATGGATACATTCTCCGCAAAGCAGTGGCCTGACCTGGTTATTCTCACAGCGTGGTTTGCCACCATGCTGTCTCACATGATGGTTTACAAAGTCTCCTTTTGATTTCTGACTGCGAGTAAAGTGGTCCTTTAGAAAATCAAAAATTGGGAGGGGAATTAAAAACCCAGGATCATTAAAATAATAGAAGCTGTTTCTATACTTGAGCTGTCAAAAGTGATGTACTTAGATTTGCTCAGTCTAGTGGTTTTGTTTTCAGTTGATGCAGCCCATAGCTGATTGTAGAAAACTTGATTCCAATGGCTTTGGTGACAAATAACATTTGTATCTAGGTGCTACAGGAGATTTTTTTTTAATATAAAAGGGGCCTCGGTGTAGAGAGATGGACTTACCAGCCCAAACTGAGCATACCAGAAACTAGGTGTACTGCTTAGTAATATCTTGCCCTTCTGTAATACCTTCATGATGACCCTTTGCATGGGATAAGGTGCTGTTTTGATTTAGAGAGGGAAACTGAGGCACATGTGTCTAAAGTCACATGCAGTCAGTTGAGCTGATCCTCAAATCCAGGAGTCCTTCTTTCTTGTTCCTTGCTCTGACCCCACTCCTATACTCTGAACACTCTTTGGCAGTACCAAGGGTTAACTGTCAGTCACTTTACTACATTTTGAATTGTCTTTTCCACTCTGCCTCCTTCCCAGATGTAAATTGGAAGAGAGCTGTGTGCCTGCCAGAGAAGATCCTGTTTGGTGGCCATTTGAGATCATGGGAAGATCACCAGTTACATCTTCTGGAGGGATTTCACACTGTCCAGTCATGCTGGGTTGCATGCTGCCAGAGCCCCAGCTGTGATGCCTTCTGGCTGTTGGAAAAGATGTGTATCCAGGTGAACTGCATGATTCCCTATAGTTGTCAGGCAAACAGGACCAATTCCTCAGATTCCATTTTGGTGTTTCTAAAGAAATTGAAAACTACAAAGCACTCCTTAAGCTTTCGACCTGATGGCAAGGTGGGGACTCTGCTATACAAGTTGTTGGACCGGCACACACCAGCCCAAGCCAAAAAGAGACTGCGAAGGTCCTTTCCGGAGCTGCTGAAAAGGGACGTAGCAGGTATCCCCACCAATGGGAATGCTGAAAATCCACCAGCCAGGACCTTGGACAGCGAATCCAAGAGCAGCTTGAGTAAAATTGGCCTAAAGGATAACCAGGAAACTAAGCCTTCATTGAGCAAGGTACATGTTCCCAATAACCATACAGCTCTAGAGAGAACTTCACAGCAAAATGGAGAGGACTCAAAAGAGCAGAAAAACAAAAGCCCTGCCTCTCCTGAGAGCAATAGTGTGAATGCACTGAGTGATCCAAGTGGTAGTGGCTCTTTGTGGGTAAGTGTATTTGCTGGGAATGAAATGGGTATGTGAATGGATTTTCTGTTGCTAGTGTTAATTTTAACGTGTTGTATCAGGTGAGCATCCTTCTGGTTGTCTCTTATTATGCAATCTCCTATTAACAATACTTAGAAGGTACCTTCAGAAATATGCTTTCAGCCTCTGCAGAGAGACAGGGCAGTAGTTTGACTCTGAATTGGGGGAGGATTTAGTTTCATTTAGTTTAATTTTTATCTTCAGTAAAAAAAAAGGTGAGAGGCAGACTGTTTCCTGTCCATATAATACTCATCATAAAAGTGACAGGTAAGAGGAAGAACTGTCTGGTTGGTGTTCTGTAACAAGCAAAAGGCAGGGGAGTTCATGGATGTTGCAGTCAGTTACCCATAATATATCTGATTGACCCACAAAATAAAACAAGTAAGTATTGAATTCTGGAGCAATTCAGCACATTACTGTACAGATCTATGCTGTTTTGTCATGTGTCCTCAATCAGATCTAAGTAATCATATTCTGTAATTGATCTAAAGTCTTAATTTTTATTTTTGTTTTAATACTCATTCTTTCGTACTCTAACTTCCAGAGAGGCTTGCATTAGCAGTTGATAAATGAGGATCATTTGGCCTTCTGTTAAAGAAAAAATAGGAAGTCAGTACAGAAATGCCAGATGTCTGATTTAAACATAAATAGTTGTGGTGCTCTTTGTCATATGTGCAAAGGGTCTGATCCATAGGCGTTGTAGAATCCCTAATAGGAGTGGTGTTGCAGAGTGAATCGTACATTAGGAAGCTACAGTGCTTGAATATCTCCTGCCATATTTCAGGAATTCGGGATTATTGCGCTGGGCTCCTTTCTCCTGTAGTTACATTCTGGCTGAGGAAAATTAAGAGACTATATTCCACTCCAGCTATGCAAATCTTGTAGTGCTATATAGCACTGTGACTGGTATCAGCCATCATCTTGCAGAACAGGATGTGGAGTGGAGCCAAAGGACACCACTGAGAATTCCAGAGCTAGTTGTGTGTTAAACAACATTGTGGTTTAGCTTTGCATTTCAAATGTTTGATCTTCTAGAGCCCCATGCTACTTAAGCATGACTCATGAGTTTCTCTTTGTTTTCTCCCTACCCTGCAATATTGCAGTATTTCTGTCCTGCCCAAAACCTTTCCTTCATCTAGCATTTCGTACGAGATTGAGACTTAACCAGTGATTGCATTCTCCCATTCTGAATGTACCTGTATTTTGGGGAGATTTCACTGCAGCTGACCTTGAACTTTTCTTGCCTTTCTCAGTTAAGTTAGGTGGTTCTAACTGCTTGGCCTTTTCGGTCTGCAGCATTACGTCCTGAATCAAGCCCTACTCCTGCTCAGGATATTTTAAACCAAACTTAAAAGCTGTGGCATCATTAGCTGCTCACCATCTACTGATTTTATGGGAGTTTCCCATTTTTGGGAAGCGCTCCTTCCATAATTAAGTTATACTGTTGGGAGTACTTTATGGGGCATGATTCCACTTCATGGTATCATTGCTTAGGATTCCTTCATTAGTCTCCCAGGAGATGATCTTCTTACACTGTGAGTTGTGACCTGGGCAGCCTAATAGCTAGGAAGGTGTGTTGCAGTCATTGACAGCTAGGCCCGGACTCTGACAGGCTTTTTTACAAAACGAATGTAAATGATACTACATCGTCCCATATCCTACTTTCAGCCTGTGCATATGCTCTGCTATTGATGTCCTGTATGACCTAGATTGGAATATCAGATAAATCTCTCACTTACTGATTAGACTCTTAGCTTCAGTTTTGTAGTCCCATGATAAGCTGGTTCTGTTCATGGTGTTATTTCCAGGTACATTAGGCTCTTTTCTTTTAAAAGTTTAAGATAGTAATGATAGTTGCAGTTAAAGTTCCTTCAGTCAGACATTCTCATGACATATATTAATGGCATTCATAAAAGACTCTCAGCAGCCTGCTAGGTAGGCAACTATCTTACTAATTTTACATATGGGTAAACTGAGTCACAGAGTGCTTAAGTGACTTGCATATCAAGTTAATTGCAGAGACAGGAATAGAATCTAGGAATCTTTACTCCTGGTTCCCTGTACTAACCAGTAAACTCTGCTGCTCCCCAAAGAAATGAGGAATATTTTTTTTAACTTTCATAATTTCTTCAGGCTCTCCTACATGCTTACCTTTAATGAGCATACATATTTCATTCTGACTATCTTACGTACTTATAAGGCCTTCACCTGCATTGTATATGAGCACCTCACAATCCTCATGGATTTTATTCTTATAGCACCCCATGATACGCAAGCTTGTTGAAGCTATGTTGGTTCCAGGAGGGACAAAGGTGGGTGAGATAATATATTTTATTGAAGAACTTTGGGTAAGCTCAAAAGTTTGTCTCTTACCAACAGAATTTGTTCCAATAAAACAGATTACTTCACCCAACTTGTGTCTCTAATAGTGAGGCAGGGAAGTGTTACTACCTCCATTTTACAGATGGGAAACTTGGGCACTGAGAGTACGTCTACGTAGCAACATTATTTAGAAATAACTAACGCTATTCTGAAATAACTTAGTCCGCATCTACACAGCAGGCAGTTATTTCAAAATAGTGTCAAAATACTGTCAAGATGGAGGACTTCTTACCCCGACTCCTGTAACTCTCATTGTATGAGGAGTAAGGGAAGTCACAGGAAGAGTGCTCTGTTTCGAAATAAGTGCTGTGTATACACTCCCTATTTCAAAATACGCTGTTTCGAAATAAGGTACACAATTAACATAGCTCAATTTGTGCAGCTTATTTCGAGTTAAGCCCTACAGTATAGTAGACACACTCTAAGTGACTTGCCTATGGTCACATGGAAATTTGTGATGGAGTAGAGAATTGAGCCTGTCTCTCCCAAGTTCTAAGATAGTATCCTAGCCATTCTTCTTTACTGTCAAAATAAGAGTCAAACTAAACATCTGTACTTCTTGCATTCGTGACATAACAACAGTTACATGAAGTCAAGGCATATTTCCAGTAGTGGAAAGTTTAAGGGCTCCGCATTTACATCTTTGGCTGCCTCTGTAAGGAAATTAAAAGCAGTGCACTTTCCAAACGGGGATGGGTGAGGGGCCATATTCATTCTCTTTGGTAATACTATTGAAACCAATGGAATTTCATCTTGGATCAACTTGGTCCAGTGCATGTGGTCAGTTGCTTTGGCTGTCAAGTGTATTGCATTTCATGCTCATGTGTATACAGAGAATTTGCATGGTTTACAGATGGTCTGTAATATACTTGATCATTACTGCATGCAGAATAGTTATTACCTGAGAGCATCAAACATCTCTATTTAGAAAAGACATGTTAGTTCAAACTGGCTCTTACCTGAATGCTAAAGGAGGAGAAGCAGAAAGTACCCTGTGTATAGGCTCTCCCTCTCCTAACTATTGTTGGAGGGATGACAAGTCAGACCAATTATTATTGCTTCTAAACACTGGAGAGGTGATCAAGTGGCTGTCGTTTTAGTAAAAATTTTGTTGCAGCTCATGGATTATCTCGTTCCCCCTATGAAGGTGATGCTGTCGAAGCTGCAATGTCATCTGCTAAAGCACGGGCAGTGTAAATATGTAGGCTTAGTGCGTGTGTGCTGCATTATGTAAGGTGAGGGGGAAAGCATGTTGTGGTGAATTGCAGTCCATCCTGTGTATCAGTCCTTCTGCAAGAAAGAGAAATTAGTGGCATTCTCCAGGCACCAAGTCCCAGTTCCTTCCTTGCTGCAAAAAAGTTTGCCAGTTTTAAATTGCAGCATTGAATTTAAAAGCCAGTCAAGAGAAAGGTACTGGATTGCTGATCAACATGGCAGCTACAACAGAGCCACGGGAACCCAGTTCTTAAATACAGAGCCTTACAATTTCAGTCACCCAGCATTAGGGATGTTAGATAGCTGGTAATAGAATACTTGACTCACCACATGAATTCTTAGCAGTCAGTCAACTATTCTATAGTCCCTGGGGGCAGGGCTCACAGCCT